TTGTTTTATTTCCAACAAAGGTAAGTGCAGCTCTGTCAGTGTGGTAAAGTAGCTGATATTGACATCATTAAAAGATATGAAATGCCAGCCTCTGATATTTTGACCATAGAATAAAAAGCGGATTTGGTTTTTCTAGGAGCACCTGTTGATCGAAATTTGCAGTAATATACAATACTGTATTTTTGGATTATATTTAGGTATCACGTTTTGCGGTTTGACTTACTGGCTTCCTTTCTGTTATTCACTTAAGAAATTCCAAAATATGCTGGCTTGTTTTCTCAGTCCCAAGTTGCCATTGAAATAAAATGTGTTACTCTATAAATACAGTAGTCTGTCTGTTCACAATGTCTGCATAACCAAGGCATAGCTGCAAACTATTTGTCGACCAAATTTTAATCAATATTTACCTCTTATTATTTCTTGTTAAGCAACACTTTTTGGTTTTGTTTCGTTTATGTTTTTCTTTTTAACAAAATTCGCTGTTAAATTGTGACACGATTTTTATACATATATGTATGTATGTAACAAAGTTTTAATTTTTCTGCTAAGTAATTTTCAAATGGAATTGCTAAATAAAGTAGCTGGCAAAGTTTTGTAAAAAATCGTGTTACAACTTTGTTTGCCATTTGTGATAAGATAGCAGCAGACAAACGAAAAGAATTAAACCAGACGAGGTGACATAGTTGATGAATGTCATTTGAAAACCAACTAAAAGTAGTGGAGCGTGAATTTTGAAATAAAAAAAAATAAAAAATAACGAAATAGGTACTAATACGGTAGACAAACGGGCTCGATTATTTACATAACCAGCCTTCATTTGCTTTAACCCATGCGTTTTCCTCTTTAAAATGAGCATAAGCAGCCGAACAAATGCACGAAATTTTTGGGAATTAACTCGGATCTGGGGAATTTTCGATGACAACACTGGTAAAAACGGCCAGTTGTTGTCTTTTGTACAAGTAAGCAAACGAAGCAGTCGAGTTTCGCGTACGCGGTAGCCGAGTGGTGAGAGTTGCGAGCTACAAGTCTGTAGCTGCCAGGTTCGTACTCGGTTGGAGCGATTGCGAAACATTTTTTGTTTTTATTATTTATTTTATATTTTTTTATTTTATTTTATTTATATATTTAATTTTACTTTATTTTATTTTCATTTGCATTATTTTATATCACATTTCTTATTTTACTATTAGTTAATTTTAATTTTTAGAAATGAATTTTGTTAAAAATTCAACAACAACTAACTGAAAGTAACGTAAAAAAATATAGAACTTATAAAAAAAAGAATGAAAAAGAAATAAAAAAGTATACTGGCCTTGGGACTCGAACCCACGACCTTGCGGCTGGTTTATTCGCATTACTGCCATCTGTAAGGGTAAAATTTTAATTTGCAAATTCAAATTAATTTTCTCCGTCTGTCTACCATATAAGATAATATAATAAAAAGGCTCTTCCTGAATTTCAAATCACGAAACATTCAAAAACTTGCGTCTCGAAAATTATTTCACAAAATATTTGGCATGAATTTAAGGTTTTTGCAAAAAATCTAGATAATTTTCGGTCAGTTAGAAACTGGACATAAACTTTTGTTATTTTGAAGAAGGGTCGTAAATGTTTACTTTTTAATTGACATGATTTTTGGTCAGTCCAAAAAAATGGACACAAATTTGTGATAATTTAAGAACTGGAAAAAAATTTTGACAATTTGAAAACTAAGCATAAAGTTATGGTTTCCTAAAAATGGACATAATTTTTGGTAAATTAAAAACCGGATATAAAGTTGTGTTAATTTCAAAACTGGGCATAAATGTATTTAAAAATGCACATGCATTTTTAATCACTAAAAAACTGAACATAAATTTATGGCTTTCTTTCATGAACCTCATTTTGGGTCAGTTAAAAACTGGACATACATGCATATGTTTTTGGTATTAATTTATGGTTTTTAAAAAATGGACATAATTCCTGGTCAATTGGACACAAGTGTCGTTAATTTGAAAACTTATCACAAATATTTTTTTTAATGGACATCATTTTTGGTCAGTTAAAAATTGGACACTTATTTTTGGTAATTTTAAAACTGGACATAGCTAGATTTTGCTAGATTAAAAACCGAATATAAAGTTTGTTTTTAATAAATGGATATGATTTTTGGCCAGTCAAAAACTGCACACAAATTTTTGGTAATTTTAAAACTGCATATAGATTTTGGCCATTTAAAAACTGGGCACAAATCGATGGTTTTTGAAAAATTTAGATAATTTTTGTTTAATTTAAAGGTACATTGTTTTTAACCAATTAACGATCAACATGGCGTATATGTAACGACAGCAACATTCACTTTTTCGATCCAAGAAAAAAATTAATAAGATTACTACAAACAAAACCACTACCCCTAAAAGGGTACATAAATATTAAAGACAATATAAAAATTTTATAAAATCTGTAATTATTCATCCAGTATTTATTCTTGTGGAAGTTTACCGCAGCTGAAGCAAAAATAGTTTCATTTAATGCACACAGATGCACTATAAAACTTCCCCAATATATCCATGGATACATATGTATGTACCTATTATATATACATATACATTTTCAAACTACTGTTTACTTGTTGTCTGCGATCTTTTATTGACCATCACAATCGGCGCTTTCAAAGCGACCGCCACCACTAAATAAATTACTTTAAGGGGCAATATGTCAGTATAAAAGTTGTCGGCGCTTTCATTAATTCCAGCCAGTCAGCCAAGTGGGGGCAAAAACACCATATCACATGCAGAAGAAAAAACAACAACAACATAAGTAGTGCACAACAATAGCGGCGCACCAACAACAGGCGATATGAGAGCGTGTAAGCAAAAAATGAACAGCAAGCATGGAGCGACCACTGAATCAGCGCGACGGGCAACAGTTGCCGGCAAACGATGCGGCGGCGCGTTGACGCAAGTGTTGGCTTTCAAATCGGAATGCTTGTGCAAAATAACCAAAACACAACAATGGCGCGCACGCAGGCGTTTGATGACTGGGCTGGCTGGCTGGCAAACTGTTGACCAGGGCGTATGAATAAGCTGGCGCGCGTGCGATTAAAGGCAGGGCATGGCAAGGCAAGCCGAATGAACTCAAAGTCCACAAAGCTGAAGCGTTTGGCATTTCGAATAAGCAGGAGTGGGAGGATGCATGTGGGAAATACTTGGAACGCTTTTGTGGCGCCGGCTTTGAATGCATCACCATTAATTACAAAATTCTTATGGCATTTTTTTATATACATACAATTATTTATTTTTTATTTTTTGCTTTTATTGTACGTATTTCCCGCTTTTGTTATGCTGATTGCTGTACGCTTGCTTTCCTACACTCAGCTGAGTGGTTGGATGGCAGCTGGTTGTGGTTGGTCGGCTGACTGGCATAAACTTTTAAGCCTTTGTTTGCGATAAATTGCATGCGAGTTGGCATTAAATTCCTTGGTTAGTCAACGTCAACGACAGTCAAAGCGCCAATAGCGGCGCTGACGCCGACTTAGCGTCGAGTAAGCCAACTTGAGCATTCCAGTGGCGAGATAAGTCGCGCAAATATTTAAAACAGTTGCCTGCAAATATGTAAAAAAAAAAAACTAGTTGACGACGAGTTTATTGTCCGCTAGCAAGCAGCACAGTAGACGGCAACAACAGCAAGCGAAAAAATAAAAAGTCGCAGTTAATAAATAATAACAACGCGACGCGTATGACGGTAGTTGTACATATGTATGTGTGTATTGGCGTTGCATTAGCGGCGCCGGATATGCGGCGAATTAATTTAATTACATACAACGATTACAACAAACAGCTGCTTGCGCTGTCAATTTAATAACTGTTGGTGTAAAGTCATTAAGATTTAATGATGGCAAGGAATCATACCTTCATACAAGCATACATGTGTATATGTATGTTTGTTTGAATGCAGGAACATCTAAAAACAGGGAGTAAATTTTTGGTAATTTTTAAACTGGACATAAACATTTCCAATCTTAAAACTGAACGAACATTTTTGGTGGTTTAAAAAGTTAGAATAAAAATAAATTTGTAGTTGAAAGTTTTTGGTGATTGAAAAATTTATCAAAACTGGACATAAATTAATGTTTTTAACATGATCAATAAAACTGGAAATAAATGTTTAATCGTTTTAAAACTGGATCATTCAATAGATGCGCATAAAAATCAAGGCATACATTTTTTGTTTAAAAAATACAACAACAAAAATGTTGTACGAGTAACAAATTTGAAACACGTTTTCAGTTATTTAGAAACTGGACTTAAAAACTGGACATAAATTTTTGGTGATTAAAAAATTTTACATAAACTATTGGGTATTGAAAAGCGGCACATCAGTTTTTGTCGTTTAATAATTGAACATACATAAACTTTTGGTTTCTTAAAACCTGGATATCATTTTTAGTCGTTAAAAACCTGGACATATATTTTTGGCCATTAAAAAAAATTTTAGGCAAACATTTACCGTTTAAAACCAGACATCATCATTTAGAATAACACATAAATTTATTGAAATCTAAAAACTTAACAAAATTTCTAGCTAGATGGCTAAAATCCAGACATAATTTTTTTTTTATATTTAAAAACCCAGACATACATTTTCCGCTGCATTTAAAACCTGAACGTATATTCCTGGTTATTATATAAATTGTGCTTAAAATTTTGGTAATTTAAGAACTGTACGTAATTTTGGGACATAAATTTCTTGTTATCCAAAAATTTTACATACATGTTGGTCTTTTAAAAACTAGGCCAACAATTTTTTGCCATGATCAGTTTTAAATTATTATTTTTTTTTTAACTATCAGAACGTTTATTCCAGTTTCTACATTGTCAAGAATTTTTGTTCAATTTCTAAATTAAATTAAATTTATGTTCATTGTTTAATTTCACACTGTACATAAGCATATCAGCAACTTAGCTTATTATTTATCATTGTAATTAAAACTTTTTTTTTCGCCTCTCTTCCACTTGCAGTTCAAGAATGCACCACCGACTCGGAGGAGCTCATGTACCATCAGGTGCGCGCCTCTTCTTCCTGCAGTGCTCCACCCGATTTGCTCATGGTTAGTGATCGTGAAAATAATATACCGTTACGTTCACCTGTAGTCAATATAATTGCAACGAAGACCACAACGGGGGCAACAACAACAACAACGGCAACAGCCAATCACAGCAGTGGCGGCGGCGGTGGCGTGGTGCAAAAACATCATCAACAGCATACTACAGGGCAACAGCAGCCACAACAACAGACACACAGAGAACATCAACACCAGCAACATTGTTCAAAAGATGGTAAACAACATCTGAAATTGAGTAGCAAAAGTGCTGCTGCAAGTAAATTTGTAAGCGTGCAGCAACAGTTGGCCGTTGCAAGCCAGCAGTCGCAGCAGCAACAGCAACAACAGGATGAGATTGATGGCCAACAACAGACAGCGCATCAGCAGCGGCACTCCTCACATCAGCATGCCGGCGGTGGCAACAAGGAGGAGCGCATACGGTTGGAGGTGAGTTAATTAAAAGCACAGTTGAGTGGCCTGAAAAGGCCAAGAGCTGGTATTTTTTTTTTTTGCTCCAGTAACTACGTTTTAACTGGTGGTTAGAGTTGTTATTGACTTAGATTTAAAGCTTCTGCTGGTTCTTTTCTGTATGATAAAACATTTAATTTAGATGGAAATGTTTAGTACATTCATATACTTTCCGTAAAATATATCTGTTTCAAAAAGCAGTATCTTTGTTTTTTGTCCCACCTGTGACAGAATAAACAACTCTGAATCGTTCCATATAAAATTAAGTTAGAATTTCTTTAATAATTGATAATAACTCATACATAAGTTAATTAGGTGTAGCTTTATCGAAATTCAGAATTTCTGAGTACTTTATGGTTAAATTTAAAAAATAAAACAACTTTTTGCTGTACAAATGTCTCGCAATGACAATGGAATACCCAAATGTATACATGCGAAATACACCAGGAACAAAACTTAGTGAAAATAGGTTTCTTATAGTTTTTGAGCCCTTAATTTTTTTTTTGTATGAAGAAGCGTTATTTTCGTACTTTATTCACTTATCTATTAACAGACTATTTTCCTTCCGATTTTTAAATTCAAACATATTTCGAAACATTTTACTGGCAGACTAAGATTGTTGGGAGTATTAATCGGATAAAAACCACTATTTTTCTCTACTTTTCCACTCGGATCGTCGTTAATTTCTGAAATTTCTATGGAATTTTCCATATATTTCGTGTTTATTTTCGAACAAATAAATAATTTAGTGAAGTCGAAAGAAAAATGTCGAAATTAAGCAATTTAACTAGAAATACGGTCGTACTGAGAAAATGGCGACCTGAACCTGTTTTGAGCTGCTGTGCTCCAAAAGGTTACAACTTTCGGCAATAGTCAGCATTTTTGCTTGGAAAATACTAGTAAGGTCTGTAAAACTTTGTTACCCACATAGGGTTTGAGAAATTCTTTGCTCCGAGTTCTGTCTTGGATTTTTAGTTTTCGAGAGACATATCGAATTCCGTATTCCAGTCCTATATAGAAGGGGGTATAATCTTAAAGGTCTTTGAAATTGGCGATTTATTTTGGAAATTTGGTTCGGTATCATTTTATTACAAACAAATTTTTTGCATTCTTACAGGGCATTTCTGGCTGAGAGAGTTGCAGGTACTTTGCATGACAATTGAAAGAAAGTAGGCAAGATAGTTTGAAAGATTTTTTTTATTCAGGCACGAAAGTCTTACCAAAACAAAGCTCCTTGGCCAACTTTCATGGTGAAAGCTATTGAGCATGTTCCAAATGGAGATGCAGGTATACCACTTTGCTCGCGCTGCTACAGCAGACGCAATTGACAGATTCGAGGTACGAACAAAATTGGACAATTCGCGCAACAAAATTTTTTGTAAATTAATTTATTTTTTATCTGAGATTTTATGATTTTAATAAGAAAATTTTTAATTTTCATAATTTTTAAATGCATTTAATTTTTAAAAACTATTTTATGTATTTTTAAATTTCATTTAATTGTTAGAAACGTATTTAAGTATTTTTAAATTTTTTGCTAACTTTTTTCTTTTAATTCTTGGATTTTATTGTTCCAAAACGAAAAGATATGTAGTTTTAATTTCATTTAATTTTTAGAAATTCGGTCTATAATTTTTTGTTTTTGTTTAATTTCATCTTTTTCCCGTTTTAAACTTACTTGTTTTTATATATTAGATGTATTATTTCAAAATATTTTTTTTTCATTCATTTAAATTTTATAAACTTTTTACGTTATTTGATTAAATTTTCTTTTTATTTTTGGGTTTTAATGTTCCGAAACGCAAAATATCTGTTTTTTGATTTCATTTAATTTTTAGAAACTTATTTTAATTTTTTTTTGTTTTTGATTGAATTTTTTTTTTATACCTCAATATTAATTTTATATATTATTGTTCCCAAAAGATTTTTTTATTTCCTTTAAATTTTGGTAACTTACTTATTTACTTCTTTTTTTTTTATTTAGTTCTTTTTAAATTTTTATTTTTTATTGTTTAAAAAGAAAAAAATTGTATTTTTATTTAATTTATTTTTTTTAAACTTATTGCTAAAAGGCAAACGAGTAGTTGCCAGAATTGAGTTGAAAGATAGTTGCCAGAATTGCTGTGTTTCTTGTGTTCATTACTTGAGGATAAATCGATAATTGAGGCAACAAAAAATAGAGCACATGTATTATCTAATATCGTATTGGGGTCAAGCCCTGGTCAAAGCAACATCGCCAAAAATTTTAGAAAAAAAAAAGATTTTTTCTTAACAGCGGTCGTCCGTCGGCAGGCAATGGCAAACCTCCCGAGTGTATTTCTGCCATGAAAAACAGCTTCCCATAAAATTACAATCGCCGTTAGGAGTCGGCGTAGAACTGTAGGTCCCTCCTCTTTGTGTGACAACATCAAGGCACACGCCACAAATCGGAGGAAAAGCTCGGCCAAACCCTAACATATGTGTAAGCGCCAATCTATTATTATTATTACTTTGAAAAATCCATCGATCCTTGGATTAAAATCGTTAAATGAGCTCTAATGAGCTTATTCATGGCCGTATAATAGTATTCAGGGAAGTTTCATGGATCATGGAACCTTTTCCCAAATGGTTCTCAGGTTTCAAACTCCAAGTATCGTTTTCCACCAAAGTTCGTAGATGAGGATGAAATACCCTCCTCTCAAACTATTTTATGCAAATCTCTGCAGCCTGTAGCGTTCGCTTGAGAATTCTAGGACCAGACAGCTTTATTCGACTGGTTGAATTATTAAGGGCAGTTAAACTATACACAGTTTTCGGAATTAAATATTTTAAAATACCTATTATCTATGTAGTTCTGTATTGCTTTTAAATTCAACTTATATTGCCCTCCAACAATTTTAATTCGATTTACCCGTTTGTTATAAAATTTATTGCACTTTGCTTTCAAAATTTTAAAAACCATAAAAATCACTTCACCACAAATGGTGTCTCCTGCGGCTACATATGTATGTATGCACATAGCTCTAGGTGGAGGCTAAACAAAACAGCACAGTAAGTGTAGCAAAGCGGCACCAGAATCCAACAAAATCTTTTAATCATTCAACAAAATTAAAAAATGTATTTGTTTTCCTAGTGGTAAGCGAAGATAGTAAGCACATACACATACATTTGGCCGACCGTGGTGGCTTTTCCAAATCAGAATTTGTATTGAATCCAGTTTTTTTTTTTGTTTTTGTTGATATTTCCCAATACGTGCTGCGTTATAACAGCGAATTTTGCACAAAAAGTACGCAACGGGTTGCCGGCCATATGGAAGTAGACGGTCAAGTGGGAAGGGATTGCTGTACATACATATGTAGTATATACACATAGGGGGTGTGCTGTTGCGGAAAAGCCAGCTAGCAGCGCTATGCGGTATACAAAAATGACGTTGAATTTGATTTGTTTACGAAAACCAACGTCGAATGCCACTTCTGCATTTCTGAAAGCTTACAGTGCTGTTCACCAGCCAAATCCAATCAAATCCCAAATCAGTTTATTTTGTTTTGGATTGCAGCCGGCCGGCAACGAGTGCGCTTCTCGCTCAATTGGGATGCTGATTCGTGCAGAGATTTATTTGTTGATTGTACAAACATGTGCAACAATTAGTAAGAAAACAAAATTCAAAACAGAATCACTATAGTATGTAGTGGATGGGCCTGGGTACTCGTATAACAGGAAAAAGGAAAGCAGGAAACGAATTTTCGTAACAATATTTAATCATTCTGTAGCGTACATAAGTATGTATGCATCTTTTTGGTAATTTTTTTTTCAAATTGGTGCAATTGTTTCCAAAAATTGGTCTTAGTTAGTTACAACGTAGTAAATGAAGCAGCTAATAGTCCTTCTTCGTATCCGCATTAAGATACATATCTTGGAACGGTATAAACTCTGCTCTTCGTTGAACCTGGGCATCTGGTAAGAAGAGCTCTACTGTCTTCTGTTCGTTTTCGTTTATATAGAATTCATTGTAGATCTGCCAATCTGGGTACCAATCGGCCAATGCCAGAACCTTTACTAGCAACGTCAGGTCTGGGATTTGCTGACAGGTCGAATAGTTTTTTTTTTTAGGTTTTTCGCGGGCAATATGCTTTTGGCTATACGACTGCCTTTTACATACGTACGTACCGATTCCACATCAATCCTTCTCTGGCTAACACACAAGCAGCCTCATTTCCGTAAATATTAAGATAAACAGACACTCAAACTAAATTTACTTCGCATTGAATTGTAACTTTTCACACTTTACCCAAAATCAACTTTGTTGTGAAGGACGCTAGAGCTAATCCTTTTGGCTGTTGCGTAAGCAACCAAGCTTCGTAAACCGATAACCTTCGCCTATAGCGAATACTCCTGACTAGAAAACATATCCTAAATCAGGCAGATGGTCTGATACTGCCAGAGATACAGAGGAAAAACATGTCCCAACCACTTTGGAGCCATCGGTGTACAAATTATGTATCCAAGTGGACGTTTCGAATTCCCCGTCCCAGTTGGCCCCCGCCAGTTGAATTCTACTTCATATCGTTTACACTTAGTCAGCGCCATGTCTTACCTTGGAAAGGTATTCGAGAGATTATACTACTATGCCCGCTAGTTAATTTGTCGGTGTATTCCTCGCACTTTCACGGACCATCGGCTGTCTGTACCCTAAGTGGAGCCCCTTTAGTTTAGTTACTTTATTTTCGTGATGCCTTAAATCTTTTATAAATTATCTAAGTCTCCTTCACACGTCACGATGGCCAACTTTTTTGAATGGAGGCTTCACTGTAGCTTCATGAATTTATGCGGCAGCCGCTCGAGTGGGAGAAGTAATTTTTTCTTGCAAACTTTTTACCAATCACAAATTTGGGCTACCAAAAGAGGCGACTATCGATGTGGCTTGAGTAAACTTCGCCACGTACGGCTACCTATGTACTTCTATTTTATAGATAGGCCTATACTATCTTAACGCGAAATTT